GAGGAGAGAGGAAAATTACATTTTTTACTTAATTAAATAAATTTTAAAAAATTAATTATAAAATTAATTAAAGTTTAATAATTTTATATATTAGAATTTAAATTTAAATTTAAATTTTAGTTACATTTTTGAAAAATTTTATCCTTATAACTTTGCACTAACATCCAGAAAATCTGGAGTTTTTGCCATAACACGATCATTTAAATCCACAATAACATGATTTCAATAAACTTAAGCATCATAACACAAAATATTGTCATAAATACCCAAATAAACACCATGAAAACATTCTGTACTCTGAACATTAACACTCTGAACATTAACACAACACTATCAAAATGAAACAAACTTAAGTTGAGACTGGATAACCGACTACTTGAATGGACTAGGAAAACACACTGAGAACACGCATTTCTGAGACAAATGTGACGTTAAACAGAATCCGAAGGCCGTTTCCTACAAGACTTGCTACAATGACTACATCAAACACGAACAGATCTACTTTAAGTCCTGAGATGCTTCTAGATTTTACCAGTAGCTCCCTGAAGCAGGATATAAGAAAACATTAGAACACTTTAGTTTAATTGCAATTGAAAAGAACATAAATTAAATATTAGATGATAACTACCTTACAAAATAGCTTGGCACAGTCAACGATCTCCAAAAACGACAGGCTTTACAAACACCATGGTGAGGGTGGCATTAACCCACTTTGAAGAACAAAACATTGAAATAGTGCTTAAGAGGAATGAGCAATAATGTTCAACCTTGCAAACATCAGGAGTTGTAAACTACTAGTTTAACTTCCCTTTCCCATTTTTTCTCTTCAAAAACATAAAAAATGGTGAAGGGGAATAGAGGAGTCAGATTCTAACGAAAAGAGCAGAAGAGGATAAGTCTGATTGCTGACTAGTCAACTTAGGCAATCATGAAATAAGAGGGACTGTCAGAAAAAGATAAACTAGGCAGCTAATTGAAGCAAGGTTGAACAAGAAAAAGAGGAATTAATGAAAGGCTAAGCAAAGGAGAAGAAACTAAATAGACATGGAAATGGAGAACATGAGAATAAGCATGAAAGAAAAACCTAAGGAATTTGTGAGGATAGTTTAGTAAGATTCTAAAGTATATACATGGTATACGAAGAAAAGGCCTACATTCTACAAAAGGAAACTAGGTAAACTGATGAGATTAAAAGCTATAATGAGTTTGAACCTAGGACTCGATATTATAAAATGAACAGCTACCAACATATATTTTACTGCAAGCCCCTTGACATAGAGTAGTCATTTCTAACCATGCCAAAACCTGAAAGAAGAATGCATGCAACCTTCTGTTGCATAAAATCCCGTTGCTTCCTCTTCCACCATTCTGCAGGACCCATACTTCACATACCATGCCCATCCCCTCTAGTAATTTATCACCAACACCAAACTTCCACAAACATCAATTCATAAAGCACAATCTGGAGATTGTTGACCACCAAAGCCATTTCTTTTGTTGGTACCACTGCTACTAGAAGCTAAACTCATACGGACTAAAACTACATCCAACTTATTGACGCTATATACACTAACACTATCCCAATTTGCACAGTAGACTTATATACAGGAGCCACTGCTCCTAGTGCCTCAGTCATCATTACCATCAAGATTGAGAATGCGACGCAGCGTCCTTGTCGCAAAGTCTATGGTAACAAGAGGTTCAGCAGCAGAAGGGTTATGCTTCCTGGTTGGAGATGAAGGTGCAGACTTAGCAATTGCATGCATTGTGACCACAGGGTCAGAAGTAGGCAGTTCAAGGGATATGGTTCGCTTTTCTCGGAGTGAAAACTTGGGCATCGGCAAAGAACTCGGTGGTGGTGAGTTTGAATAGGCAGGCCCAGCCCAAAGCTCAGAATATGACAAGACTTCACCAGAAAAACCATTAAAGGCCTTCTTCTTAGGATTTCTGTTGTTGTTGTTGATGGGAATTGGTGAGCTTTTCACACTGCTTTTCGAGTGTACAGTATTAACAGAGTGCGAATTAGCACTAGGGGATGGTGTACGTGGGGAGGACGCTGGCAGGGGTGATGAAAATGAAGATGCCCTTTTAGCTACAGGTGAACTATACTGCTTAAACGGACTTGGGAGTATGCCAGCACTAGATTGGAAGGTCCTGCAATTAATCTGTCTGAAATTTCTAGATGGCGATGATCCAAATCTGGCTGATCCATTTGACCTGACCCTGTTATAGCACTGATTTCTATGCTGCTCCAGAACAACAAGAGTCTCCATTTGATAATCAAAACCCAATTACACAACTATCTATCTCTCCCCGAGTTAAGCTAGAAACCCAATAGATCAAAAACAGCCCAGATCCAACAGTCCACCACTACAAATCACCCAAAAACATGCTAAAAGATCACAACTTTAGGCTAACTTCCAGATCTCCGAAAATTTCATATACCACTAACATCAAAGTGCTCTATTCCTCAATCAAAACTCAATCGATTCAATGCAAAATCACAACATCAAAAAAGAAAAAAACCCAGAACTCTGTAGCCTCGGATCAGATTAGATCTTCAATATAGAAGCATGATTGTACTGTATAACAAAAAGGGAAAAAAGAAAAAAACAAAACTTTAGAAATGGAACAACAAAGGAAAATAACAGAACAATAAAAAACCATGGCTCCAAAATCAGCATAAAAAAACAAATTTTCATCATTTCTTGGGAGAGTGGAGAGTGGAAAATTACCAGCAAGTTGCGATGGAGTAATTCCGAATGTTAGATCTGATAGAGAGTGAGAATCTCAGCTAAATTCAGAGATGTTTTTCGATTCTGTGCAGATTTTTTTTCCGAGTTAAATTTGCAGGAAGTTAGACCCTGTAGCAGTGAGGAGGAACAGGAATAGGAAGAGGAAGAGGAAGAAGGAGGCAGAATCTCACGGATCTGAAATGACACCATCACTTCGCTTTTTAAATATCGTACTGCGTGCTCCCCATTGCTGTGTTTTGCATAATGGCCCTGCTTTCTATGGTAATTACCATATTAACATTTCTTTTAAAAAAAATAATTTTAAAACAGTTTGTTTTATAGCACGTTTCTCGGTCTCATATGATATATTATTTAAATAATTAATTTTTTATTTATATAAAATTTATAATATTAAATATATATTTATTTAATAATATATAAAGATTACATTAAAATATAATATAAAAAATATTCTTATAGTACTATTTTTTTAACAAATTTACAAAAAATTAAATTCAAACAAAGAGAAAAAATATATTTATATGTGATCTGATGTCATTAAATTCAAAACTCTAATCGCATACCATCTTTTTTTTTTTAATTTTAAATCGCACTTAAGATCTCATATATGTATATTTATAGGAGAAAACGAAAAATTAGAAGGTATTAATATTAAAAATATTAAAATATTTAATTATAATTATTAAATAGGTAAATTATAGTATAAATTTTAATTTTATTAAATTTATTATATAATAATTATAAGATATTTTGATATTTTTAATGTTAAAATATATTAATTTTTATTTTTTCTTATTTATAATTCGAAATAAAATTTTTTACTTTTAGATCATTTAGTTAATTGACATATTAATATTTTTTATTTATAAAAAGAAATTTTATAATTTAAATATAAAAAATAATTTTTATATCTAAATAATTATATTAGACGATAAAGTAATAATTCATAAAAAAAAGGTCTTTTGTTTTTTTTCTTGATTTTTTATTTGGGCACCTAGGCCCTGTTTGGAATCCGTGTGCCCGAAGGCGCTGTACATTAATTTGTGGTCAAAAACCAGAAAGTGTCATTTTACATTAATTTGTAGTAAAAAAAAATCAGAAAGCGTCAGGATTTAATTGAATTAAAAAGAATAAACTTTTAAAAGGGGCAATAATGAACAAAAACGTAAATTTGAGGGGGTTAAGGTTTTTTTTTTAAATTTTAGACTCGATACACGTGTCAGTTATTATTATTATTTTTTAAAAAATATAGTATAAAATATTAATTAAAATTAATAAATATATATAAATTAAATTTTTTAAAAAAATATTTTATAAAACATATTATATATTAAAAATATAATTTATTTTATAATGCATTAAAATATTTTTAATAAAATTATTTATTTTAATGATATTTCATTAAAAATATTTTAATAAATTTATAAAACATGTTACTTTTTTAATGTATAATTCAAATTATATTACATGAATCCCTTAAAATTTTATAATTTTAAATAAAGTGTTGCTTACACATAATTTATTGAAAGTAATACCACGAGAAAAGTTGTAATTATGACCACACAAAATTTTTTATATTTTATTAATTTATAATTTTTTTAAAATAATTAGATATAATATCTTAACATATTTATTTATAAATTAATTTTAATATATTAAATAATAAATATTAATTATTTTATTAATTATTAATTATTGTTAATAATTACTATAAACTAAAATAAAATTAAAAGATTTACGTGGCCATAATAAATTGATGTAGGGTCACACCAAAAAGTCCTATAAGGAAGTGATAAAACTCTTAGGTGGGATGGTAAAACTACAATACAGTTATTTGGGGCCTACTGTATAATTTTGATGCAATCCTTCAAACAAAAGCCAACATGAAAGGCAGGTGGGGAAGGCAGGGCATGGGCCCTGGTGTCCCTGCCCTCTATTTATTGCTCCATGTTCAATCAGTTCCCGACAATTGCCTGTTTCTAGGACGCCTAACTACCGGCTGATTAAAATATACTGTACTACATTTTTGGAAATTAACAAAAAAAAAAAAGAAAAAAAAGAAGAAGGTTAACATGAACTTTTCTTTTGAAAAAACAAAAGAAGAAAATAAATATGAGTTCTTTGCTTGGTGGAATCGAAAAGTGAAAGAAAGCTGGCAAAGGAAAGCATCTTGACATGATTACTCTTTAGTTTTGGCACGCCGAAAGGCAAAGCAAACAAACAACCCACTTAATTTTTACGAAAACGTTAAGAGAAATCATGTTTTACTATTTAAATTATATAAAATTATAAAATATAAATTACTAATTTATTAAAAATTGATTTCATTCAGTAATTAATAATATATAATTTAATGCACCTGGGCCTCTAGGCCTACTGATATTAGCCAGCCAGCTTGTTAGGTGCATTTCCCTTCCCCTGGCAGGTTTCGGACCCGTCCCGTGTCAAAATGTTAAAAAAAAAATAATATATAATTTAATAACATTAAATCTTTTAAATCTAATAATATTAATTACATTAAAAAAAATACAATCTCTTCTTTTCTTTAAACTTGAATTTAATCTTACCTTTTATAAATATGTTAAAAAAATATAATATAATTTAAACTGTATTATATTATTTTGAATATTATATACACTTACCTTTCAACTCTTAATTCCAAATTAGGCAGCTTCAACTTCAACCCCTTCAACCAAGAGACTAGAACAGCTCTACGCCTCTACCTCCTATTTTATAAGAACAAAGCCATGTTTTCCTTCTTTTAGATTGCATAACCTAAATAAAAATTAACATATTTGTGTATAACGTAACATGGATATATGGTTGTTTGATTCAGAGGTTGGTGGAGATTCACGTTCAACATGCTTATAGCCAATGGTGTGTAGTTAGGCGTTGTTTGGTGGAGCTTAATTAAAAGCAAGACAACCCCTTTATAGTTTAGCTAAAGCAAAATTGGTTTTAATTTTGTATTGAACTTATAATTGATAGCTTCTCATTAATGAAATTTCTTGCTTTGCACCCAAGAAAGTAAAAATGGAGCAAAAGTCTTTGACACATTCGACCACGAAAAGGAAAATTTGAAAAGAGGAAGTGACTTTTTTTGAGATCCACTTTCACTTTGAAGAAAGAAAGATTTGTCTTTGAAAGCAATGAAGAGGAGGCATCTTCTTTACGTGGTCATTGTTGGCAACTAAGGACAACGTTTTTTCTATGAGTTTGATAACATTAGGTGTGATATGAAAGTTTGAGTAAACATTATTCCTCTTAATAATATGTTAGATGTAGGAATATACAAAGCTATAAATAATCAATGCCTGCACATGGTGGGGTTCCTTTGACCCTCTTATTTCCCCCCACCTCCCCCTCGTCTTCTTCGTTTTTTTCTTTTTTAAGAAATTATTTAAGATTAAAAAGATAAAAATACACTTAATAAACATAAGGTATAAAGATTCACTAATGATATTTATATTTTATTTAAAATTGATGTTTTTAAGTGTGACGGATATTAAGAAATAATATTATGTTAAAACTATTAATAACTTAAGTAATTTAGTGATAATCTCATTTAAATATATGTAAAAAATTTTAACTTTGATCATACGACATATGGATAAGATGTATTAAACAATTGAATAAAATTATCTCTTATTATGTAATTTAAAATTAAAAAATATATATTACATTAAAATCAAATTGTTTGCTTTTTTATTTTTCTCATTTAAATAATAAAAGAAGAAAATTTTGGACTTTACAAGCTAAAATTGTATCTCACTTTTGGCAATTCATATTTTTTCTCTCCCGATAATCCCTTGAAGGTGAACCTAACAAATGAAACAACCTAACAAACAACAAATGCGTGATGAATGCGTTATTTAATACAAGGAGGATTACTTCATTTATATCAATTGATTTTAAATTAAATGTAAATTTTATTTTAAAGTCATATACTTAATTTTCACATGTAATGTCATATAACTCATAATATATTAATAATAATAATAATAATAAGCTCATCATATATTAAAATAATAATAATAATAATAAGGTCGAGTTTTCGCTGCTGGATCTACGAACAGCCCTTTACAATTGTAACATAGTCAAAGTGCAAAATTGCAGTCCATGGGCTCCCCATTAGCCCACAAAACATTGAAGTTACAAAATCCAAAATGCAAGGCTCGCTGAGAATGCAACAAATGGCGAATTCGCCGATCCAGTATTTCATCTCCACTTCGCCAAATGTCGCAAACTAGAAACCCAGTCAGTTACCACCTGTAACTGCGGATCCAAAACCCCACCTCTATCTGCGACGTGTAAACTCCGACAAACCTCATCCACACACGTACATTTTATACCCTTCCCCCCCAACATCTTCTTCAGTTCATCAAACTCAGACCTGTGAAGTTTGAACTCTGAATCAAACCCAAAATGAGCCAGGAACAACCACGACGGCCACAGGAGGACCAGGCTCCCGATCAGGAACCCATAAGATACGGCGACTTGTTTAACGTCGTGGGAGATTTAGCATCGCAACCTATTGTGCCGCAAGATGCAGTCGCCATGCAATCGGCTGAAACACTGGCCCTTGGACAGACGCAGAGGGGCGGAGCTGCCTCTATAATGCAATCGGCCGCTTGGCTCAACGAGAGGGCAGGCCTTGTCAACCAGGACGATGCTAACGTCGTTGCCGGGGATGTCCCTCGCGTTGGCATATCCAAATTACACCACAATGGCAACATTTTGGTCACGGAGAAAATCGCCGGACAGGTTAATTAACTAATTAGCGTTTGTTTTTAGAAAAAAAAATGCTTAGTTACGGCATAGATTTTTATTTATTTAATTATTTTGAGACAGGTGGTGGCGCAGTATGTGAAGCCAGCCGAGGTGGTGCCGACTCCGGCAGCAATTGATCGGAATGCAGTTACAATCGGGGAAGCTCTAGAGGCAGCGGCACTATCCAAGGAGGGTTATAAGCCGGTGGACCCAAGTGATGCTGCTGCGATACAGGCGGCAGAGATGAGAGCCTCTGGGAGTAACGTGATCCGAGCTGGCGGTGTCGCCGCCACAGCCCAATCTGCAGCCACGCAAAATGATCGAACAATGCGAGATGAAGACAAGACCAAACTCGCCGATGTTCTGTCGGTAATTCAGTAACTAATTCTACACTAAATTTTTTTCCCCTGTTGTTGTAGTGGTGATCTGTGTTTTTATTTTTATTTTTTTTTATATTGAATAATCAACTATACAATAAGAATAGTCCTCTATTCTTCAAATTCCTCTTCTTTCATTTAATATTCAAATTTAAAACCTTCAATATAAAAATTTACATAGTTAACTACCAAGACATTAGGGTTTATGTTTTTATTTTTAATTTTTTTATATTGGATAATGAACTATACAATAAGTATAGTCCTTCATTTTCCAAATTCCTCTTCTATTATCTTAATATTTAAATTTAAAATCTTCAACATGAAAACTTAAGTAGTTAACTACCAAGACATTAGGGTTTGTGTTTTATTTTTAATTTTTTATATATTAGATAATTGACTATACAATAAGTATAGTCCTTCACTCTCCAAATTCCTCTTCTCTCATCTTAATATTCAAATTTAAAATCTTCAACATGAAAACTTAACTTAAGCCGTTAACTACCAAGATATTAGGGTTTGTGTTTTTAATATCACAAGATTAATTTACATGCAGGATGCTACCCAGAAATTACCAGGGGATAAGCCAGTGACGACTCGGGATGCTGAAGGGGTGATTGCGGCGGAGCTGAGAAATAAACCTGACATGAACAGGCCGCCCGGTGGCATTGCCACGACCATGGCTGCAGCTGCTCTGATAAACCAGAATAAGACCATCTTATAAGTCTAAAAGAATGTACCTGGCGGCTGCCCAAGAAATCAAATGGGCCTGAAACGAATAAGACTAGTTCTATTGGGTTTACTCTGGGCTAGCAGAGCCACTGAGAATAATGAATATATCCTTCGGCTTTGAACTTGTTCACTTGTAACTATTTAAAATAAATAAAATTTACAACCTCAAAGGTTGGGATTATTAATAAATAAATATTATTTTATAAATTAATTTTTAAATTTAACTCTTGAGATCAATATTAAAATATAAAAATATATTCTTAAAATTATTTTAAAAAAATTAATATTAAGACACATACAAACTAACTCAGAATACTCTAAATGGTTATATAATTTGAGCTTCAAGTTCAACCATCAATAATGTGGTAGGTAGAATCGGAGCAGAGCGTTTGCACATTGCAGTGCACAGGCGGTGCAAAGTTTCAGTGATGGCAGGCGTGGGTAGCAGAGATACTATCGAACACAATTTCTACACCTCATCTTTATATTATATATATATATAGGACAAATAAATTATTATACCCCGGCCTGTCTCTGTCTCTGCATTGTGCGCTCACTTAATTATGGAAATGTATTTTGCTATATAAATTAAGACTTTTAGTTGAAAAAGAAATGTCTAATATTATAAAACTTTTCCTTAATTCAAGAGTAATTATTTTGTAGTTTAGAAGCTTATATCAAATTGAACTCCTCAACAGCCTTACTAGGACGACGTGTGCATGTGAATCCGTCTTTCTTCTCGAGAATTTTGTAATATGAGTCGGAGGAACTTTTGTACTCATTTGAATAAATATTTTAATTGCGGATAAAAAAATATTAATTTTTCTTTATATGATATTACTAAATATGGTTGAGAATTGAAGATTTTAAGACATGCGTAGGTCAAACTCATCAACTTTAGTTCAAAAAGAGTGCTCTAGTACGTCTAGGCTAACCTTTTCTTAATTTCCTTAATTAGTTTCAAAATTAAAGTTTTGAAATTAGGTGGATATTGATTTGGAAAGTCTCTTGTAAGTGAGTAATGATTAATTAATTGTGTTGTAAGACCATGGGTGTTTTGCTTATGATTGAGGACATTGCTTGTCACAGCTTCACAGACGGTGTTTTCGTAAGATGAGACTTCATGATATATGTAATACCCATTTTGGGGATCTTTTTTTGGTTTCTATCCGGTATCTGGGGTTTCGCCCCGATTATTTCGGACTCGACCAGCTGTGGCGCACCAGAATGGTGGGTGGGTCTCCCGACGAAGGCTGCTGCGTACACAAGGTTTCGAACTCAAAACCTTACTTAAGCTGAAACAAGCCGCTTATCACTTGATCCAACCCTTCGTCGGTGATTTTGGGGATCTTTTTTTGGTTTCTGTCCGGTATCTGGGGTTTCACCCCGATTATTTCGGACTCGACCAGCTGTGGCGCACCAGAATGGTGGGTGGGTCTCCCGACGAAGGCTGCTGCGTACACAAGGTTTCCAACTCAAAACCTTACTTAAGCTGAAACAAGCCGCTTGCCACTTGATCCAACCCTTCGTCGGTGATTTTGGGGATCTTTGTGACATGAAATAAAATACCCACAAATGAAAGAAATAACACTCAAATACAAATATTTCTTCAAAAAGACAATAAAAGAATAGGATCATCTTTGATCATCTGCATTAATTGTGCATTTTTTTAAAGTTTAATTTGGTTAATATAACAGACCAGCACCAAAGAATTAAGTTTAATTTGGTTAATATAACAGACCAGTACCAAAGAATTAACGTTTATAAATAATAATTTAAATAATTTAATAATAATTTTTTAATAAAAATATAAGATTTTAAATTTAAATTTTATAATATGTAAGTGAAGTTAGTTAATAAATTAAAAAATAACTATATCTTATTATATAATTTAAATTTTTGTTTTAAAAAAATGGATTGATTGGCCCGTTGGAATATAATTTGATACCAAAACAAAATGAGATCAAGGCATGAACTGAATGCTAGAAAAGAAACAAAAAGAAAAAATGCTGCATGTGTGTATTAATAGTAAACTGAATTATTTTTTGCGAGCAAGAAATCAAGCAAAAAATTTCAAATTATGTGCTGCAGCATCTACCCGTCAAAATTGATCCTAATATATTTTGCAATTTGACAGATCTGGAAATAGCATGGAAATGCAGAACCTGTTAGGGCAAAATGATTGGGGATGAGATCCATATTCAACTGTATTACGAAATCCTTGTTTCAGCAAATTTTACCAATTCAAATGCCATCCCATGACTGCATGACATCTAATTAATTAAGAAGCCATGGAAGTTGCGGAGCTCGCTACAAGTCAAATCATGGTGTCTTAAAATTGATCAATCACCATTAGCCATGGTTATTAATTATTACATAAATAAGTATTAAATTCA